GCCCTGTGGGTTCAGGTCCTCTCTGACTTCCAGGTTGGCCAAACTGGAGGCCTAGAAAAGTGATACTTTTGACTCAAGGTATCTATACAGCATGTTGTCCCTGAGCCCCAGTTTGAGGTACCTCCCTTGGGGAATTTCCACTGCCAGGCTTGGAGACCAGAAGAGGAGTGTGGGTTGTTAGATTTCATCCAGGGGACAGTTTGCCCTCAAGGAGACATTTGGTACTGTCACAACTCAGGGGAAGGCTGTGCCCAGCATCTAGTATGTAGAGGTCAGGAATGCTGTCTACACCACGTAGGACGGCCACAGTGGTGAGACTTAGAAATCCTGGTCCAGGCCCCCTCGCTGGGTGCTGCAAAGCTGATCAGGCTCCTGCAGCTTAGGACCCTGCAAACAGTAGGGTCACCTGATGTGCAAAGTATTTCTCACCCCAGAGAGTCCAGGAAGAGTCCGGTCCCTGCTGGGGATGCCTTTCAGGAACTAGACACCCTCTCCTCAGGCTGAGGCCCCAGCGTCTCTACAGGAGCTTGGGCTTCCAAGTGACTCTAGAACTCTGCATTGACCTCAGAACAAGGCCAAAGTGCCTTGTTGGGGAGCACCCCTCCTGGGAGCCTTATTCAGCAAATGTCCTTGGCCATATGTTGTGTACAGTCAGGGTGACATTGAGAGGGAGCTTTGTACAATGTGCAGAAGGCTCCCAGAGTGAAGGCCATTATGTGCTGATAGCAGGCTTTGAGTCTGCCTGCAGAGATGCCTAGCAGCAGGGACTGCAGGCAAAACTCCAGGCTTTTCCCAACTTGTGTTGGAATCTGAGCTGAGAACCACAGGCCATGGTCTGTCTCTTACCTCTTGGCCCTGCTCATGATTTCCTCTAGAATGTTCTCCCTCTACCTCTCTTGGCTGCTTCCTGCTTGTCTGTTAAGATCAATACTAATACCATCTCTTCCTGCTGCCCTTCTGTCTTGGCAGGATTGGATTTGGGGTCTCTCCTATATATAACTGTGCTGTCCTGGTTATTAATATGGAGTGTCAGAAAGCAGAACTCGGGGCATCACTTTTCTTTCTCCCTAAGACCTTAGCCAATTCTTGGGCACATGGAAGATGCCTCACAAATGAGGTGGATTGACCAGAACACCCCAGTCCTGTCTCCTTGACAGCCCAGGCTCCCTGCCCCGCCCTCACTGGCTCAGCTCTGTTTCACCTGGTAGAGGGATATAAGGGCTTCATTGTGTGCCATAGGAGACAGGAACAAGAGTGATGCTCTGGGGGTGTGGGGTGAGATCTGGGACCCTGACAGATGGAGCCTGGACAAAGCTCTCTTTAAGAGGGCTGGTGGCAGCTGGGATGACAGAACTCCAATGCAGGAACATTTGGACATCAAAGGAATCAGGTGTCCAGGTGAACTTGGCAGTGCCTAGAAGTCGTATGAAGGTCATCTGTCATGGTGGAAGACACTGCATGCTGTTCACTCTCCCCATCACCAAAGGCCCCCAAGGTTCCATGTCCACAGAGACTCTAGTGCCCAAAGCGAAAGCTGCTATGATTGGCCTTGTCCCCGTTGCAGCCCACAGGGACCCAAGTCAGGTCCTCAGAGCCAGGTTTTATCTTCAGCTAGGGCTGAAATTTGAGCAGGGCTTATGCTGCTGAGAGCCTAGGACAAGACCCAGACCCTAGAGGAAGTTTGGAGGGCTTTGGGGCTAATGCCCCAAGGAAGTGGCGAGTGGCTGGGGGACAGTTAGGTCCCCAGGGAACAGTGCAGCCCCTGACATACTGTGCTGAGATTACAGCGACTGCTGGCCTTTGGGAGGGGTGGCCTTTCCATGCACAAACACAAAGCTGTCACTTAGCCTATCTGAAGCCTTCCTTTTAGCTGGCACACCTGGAGCCCCATCTGATTGGTTGAGACTTCTGCCTCCTAGGGAATGACCCTCCCTTTGAGAACTGAAGATGGGCTTTGTAGCTATCTGAAGTCACATGGATTCAGTGAGCCCAGGTGAGCCCACTTGGCACCTATTCCAGGGATCCAGGAGAAGAAGGGAAGGGGGTTATCCCGGGATAGACATGGAGATGGATGGAAGTTTTCTGGGAGTTCCCGAAGCCCTTGTCCCCTCCTAAATCGTTAGGCTTGACAGGGGGACCCAGAAGAACCCACCATGGATCTCCTTAGCTCTCAAGTTCAGTTGAACATACAGCCCGGCTTCCTGCAGCCTCACCTTCACTCTCACCCCCCACCCTCTGCAGGCCCTGAGTGAATTGGCATGCCTTTCCTGTTCACTAGGCCTTTGAGATGGTCACCAGCCCTGGCTCTCACCAGCCCTGGCTCTCTTGCTGACCCAGAGAAGCAGTACAGCCACTGTCTCTGTTTCCTCTTGATGGTTCCGTAACAGCCCATCCCCCTCAGTGCCTGGCCCTCTGTGAGGACCCAGTGACTCTTTTTATGCTGTTCCTTATTTCCTAAGGCCAAATGAAAACTTAGGGCTAATGTGAACAGTATATATGTGGGGGTGGGGATCTTACTCAGCTCCAACAACTGCTAAGGGACCCCATCCCACATGCCCCTGTGGTTTCAGAGGGAGCAGGAGAGGTTAGAAGAATGTATTAGTTTGGTTTCTCTTGCTATGATAAACATCATGACCACAGTAACGTGGGGAGGAAAGGGTTTATTTCATCTTATTCTTCCAACTGACAGTTCATCACTAAGGGCAGTCAGGGCAGGAACCAAAGCAAAACCATGGAAGAGCACTGCTTCCTGGCCTGCTCCTCTGGCCCATGCTCAGCCTGCTCTCCTTTATAAGCCAGGACCACCTGCCCAGGGGTGGCACCACCCACAGTGGGCTGGGCCCTCCCATGTCGCTCAAAAATCAAGAAAATGCCTCACAGACAATTCACTAGAGGAAATTCCCCCACTGAGGGTCATGTTGACAACCAAAGCCAGCCATGACAGGGAGGTTTAGAGGATGGGCAGGTACCAGCCTGAGAGATGACTGGCCGGAACCCTGGCTCTGCCATTTCTAAGCAATGAGTTTTTGGGCCTAAATCTCCTTGTCTGTGACTAATAATCAGGATTCGCATTAAAGGACTCAGTAAAGACAGCTATTAGCTGGTTGTGGTAGTGCATGCCTGTAATCCTAGGACTTGGGAAGCTGAGGCAGGAGGATTGCCATGAGTTCAAGGTTAGCAGGCCTAGTTAGCAGAGCGAGAATTTGTCTCAAAAAAAACCCCAAAACCCAAAAACCAAAAAAACCAAAAACCTCAGTGCTTACCAGATGTGAATATTAGTGTGCACTGGGAGTTAATGTCAGTAAGCGCTGGGAGTAAACATTAGTGTTACACTGACGTGAATGCTAGTGTGTACCAGGACTAAATGTTAGTGTGCATGGAGAATGAAGGTGTCCCCTCCTCCCTCCTAGTCCCTCCCCTCCCTGGTGGAGAAGGGTCTCTGAGGACAGCATCTGGCCCTTGGGAGCAGCCCCACCTCATTAGGTAGGGATCATGGGATGGCTTATTTCCCCTGGCTGTCTGGTAGAGCCTGGACCCCAGGGAACCCTGCCCTGTACTCTCAGTGCCAGACACCTCTCAGGGGTGCCCGTATTGTGCAGGGGAGCTGCCGATGTTCTCCCTGGTGAGGGCAGGGTGCCACTCTCAACCCGTGTTTTGTTTCATTTTTACCATTCTAAAGTTGATAGTAGAGTCTTGAGTTCAGGCAGTTGGTGACGCCTCCCCTCCTCTCCCTCTTTGTGGCTTCTTCAAGGAGCACTACTGAGACAGCGCCCTGTCACACACATTGCCTCGTGGGCTCTGCCCAGTCCTGCAGGAGATCGCATCACTGTTCTTTCCTCAGGGGGGGAGACCCAGGCTCAAGCAGGTCCCCATGCTGGCACAAGGCCACTCTGCTAATGAGAGGCAGGACTGGGATTCAGAGCCTGTCCTGCTTATCCCCTCCTGTGCCTGCCTGCTTTGTCCTCCCCTGAAATTCAAGCCTACCCAAGAGTCCATGCGTGTCTTCTGCTGTTTCCTTTCTTGTACCTTACCCTAGACCAGGACCCCCAGCAAGGACCTAGCCCTTTACTCTGCATTTCTGCACAGAGCCCAGGACGAAGCTCAGCACACGGGAACCTGGGCTCAGAGATAGAGTGAGCTCAGAGACTGTTCTTAGGACAGTCGGGAAGGACCCGGCCAGCCCCATGCTGCGCCTCACACACATGCACAGAACACAACTGCCCCCACCCTGCAGGGAGGGCAGCCCCAGTGGGCATAGAGCAGCTGTGTGCCTGCTTTAGCTCCAGCCTAGGGTCCTGCAGCCTCTTTCCAGTCCCACCTCAGTCCAGGGCTGCAGGTTACTCAGGGGTAAATGGAAGGCCACCAAGCCCACCTGTCTCCTTCACACCTGTTCCTCAGCAGCCAGCCACTCTGCTCTGCCTTGTTCTGCAGTGGACTAGGGGCAGGCCATGGAAGGGCCAGGCAGGGCAGGCAGGGGTCCAGTTGCAGGAAAACAAGTCTGATGTCTTTGAACCCAGATCCTGGGTTTAGAGCTCTGTTCTTCCACAGGCTAGTGTATGCCCTAAGCATGTCTTTGGACTCCAAGTTCCTCATCTGTCAGGTGGGAACATGAACTTCACCATCTGGGCACTGGGATGAAGCAAAGTATGGTGAAGGTGTGGGTGGGGCAGATAAAACAGGTCTTGTCCCCAAATATATGTCATGACAGACAGCCACGCTGCAGTTCCTCCTTGTAAGATGGCACCATGGGGGGGGGGTAGTGCTGCAGTTAGGGGAAGAGGCCTTGGATCTGGGGCTCCCTGTAGTTTGAGGTACTCCCCCCCCTCACAGTGTTCTCTGCTGCCTTGGAATGGTGCTAGCCTCAGGGGACAGTCATTAGTCATCAGCGAGGCTTTGTCTCCCAAGTGTTCTGAAACCCAGACAGCAGATAGACACAGAAGAGGTCCTAGGGTTGTGGGGACCCCCAGGGTGACTATGGCCTCCCCTGGGGACTTTTGCAGATGGTGGTTCTCATGGACCCAATGGAAGATCCTGATGACATCCTGAGGGCACACCGCTCCCGGGAGAAGTCCTACCTGTTTGATGTGGCCTTTGATTTCACTGCCACCCAGGTGAGAGACAACTTGGGCTAGGGACACATGGGAACCCCTCTTGACGTTTTGCCCCACTCAGGAAGGGCCCTGCTTGTGACCATCACCTTCTCTCTCACATTTGCTCAAGAATCCACTTTCTAGAGCTTTGTCCGTTTGTGAAAGTCTACAGATACCTGCATGGTCACGTGCCTGTACACTTGCATGGCGTGACACTATATGTGCTCACTTATACACATGCTTGGCATGACACTGCATGGCCACTTGCCTGCATACTTGTTCTCCTGTATGTCTGCACACCTAGCCTTCTATAGAACACACTTGGCTAACCCTCACATGCCACCCTGCAGAGTAGCCATGTGGAACACTCCACAGCTGGCCTATAAGGTGCTCGAAGTCCATCTGGTGTAGGGAGAGTGGCCAGAGGACAGTCTCAGGAAAGCTGACACCCTCCCAGGGACCTCATCTTGCCCATTTTTGGGATGCTCAGATGCTCCTAGGAGCTGACGTCATGCATCTTTAGAGCTGGGGGCCGGGAGCCAGCTGTAGGGGAGGCCTCTCAGATGTCCTCCTGAGCTCTCTTGCAGGCTCGTGTCCCCCTTGAGGGGTGTAAACAGATAATCCCTTCTTCCACTTCCTTCCCCCTCTTATCTCCAGTCTGGGGCTCCAGGGACAGAAACCTCCCCTGGTCAGGGTCAGGACATGCTTGGGAGCACCTGCTCCTTGTCCTGTCTCTGTCCCTGACCCCTGACAGATCTCTTCCTCCCTTTAGGAGATGGTGTATCAGGCCACCACCAAGAGCCTCATCGAAGGTGTAATCTCAGGATACAATGCCACTGTGTTTGCCTATGGCCCTACAGGTGAAGGGGAAACAGACACAGACAAGAACTGACCCCTGTTGTCTCCCCTGAGAACTAAGCCCCACCACCCTCCACCAGAAAACTGGTTACCCCTGGACAGGGGCCAAAACAGAGAATGAGGCCGAGCCAAACATTGCCTCATTCAATGCCCTCCATCCCCAAAGACCTTGTTCTTAGCCAAAGCCACCACCCTTCCCACCACCTCCACCTCTCTAACCATCTGAGGTGGGGGGGGCTAGTCTCAAGGACAGCCCAGGGTTCCCAAGCACACCACCCCAGTAAGGCTACACCCCTAGCCCCGACCCTGTTCACCACTACCCTGTCCTGCCCAGGCTGTGGGAAGACCTATACTATGCTGGGCACTGACCACGAGCCAGGCATCTATGTTCGAACCCTCAATGACCTGTTCCGAGCCATTGAGGAGACCAGTAACGACATGGAGTATGAAGTGTCCATGTCCTACCTGGAGGTGAGCCCCCCACCAGATTTGCATAGGAGGTACATAGGATGGGGTGGCCCACCTCCCTAGAACCAGTCATTGGTGGTTTCCTGGGATATGGACCATGGCTGTTCCCCCACATGCATATCACTAGCCCTGCCTGATAAAAAACTGTGACTCAGAGAGGTCAGGCAGCTATATCAGTGGTACACAGCAATAAAAAAGCAGGGATTCCAACTCTGGGCCCTGTGCTTTTAAAGGCAAGTCTTGCTGTAGTGTAGCTTGGGGAGTGAGCATAGAGTTTGGCTGCTGTCTCAGACAGCTTACCTTCTCCTCATCCCCTTGAGCCCATTCCTTAGCAGACACCATCTGCCTGGACAAGACTTCCTGGGGTAGAAGGGGACCACACAGAAGCCAGAAGGGGTGGAGACTTCTCCAAGCTAGTGGGCTGGTCTCCATCTGGCTCTTCTGGGAGCTCATAATCTCCTGGGTGACAGCTCAGAAGGGGTGGTAAGGGAAGCTGCCAGCAGGTATTGACTCAGCCAGCCAGGCTCACCTTGGTAGGTGGGAGGCACCCAGGATAGGGAGCTTGAGGGTTTTCTAACAACCAGCAGGGCGCCTCTGCAGCTGTGGTCCTGCATCGCTCAGGTCCATGCGTCCGGCACGGGACCGGCCTATCCAGCGAAGGAAGTCCCACCGTGTTTCAAAGCTTCTTGCAATGTTTACTTTGATGCCCCCACCATTATCAAAGAAAGGTGTTTCCCCCAGTTAGGGCTTCCTTCACAGGGTCTGGGGCCCAGCAGGCAGGAGCACTGGTCCTTGCTGGGGAGGGACTGCCAGGCTGCTCAGAACTGGACTTCTTGACCTTCTTCCTCCTCATTCCACTATCCCATCAGATCTACAATGAGATGATCCGGGACCTACTGAACCCTGCCCTGGGGTACTTGGAGCTGAGGGAGGACTCCAAAGGGGTTATCCAGGTGGCCGGGATCACTGAGGTGTCCACCATCAATGCCAAAGAGGCGAGTCTTGGGCAGTTAGCCAAGGACTGTGGGGAGGAGAGTCACTGTGAGGGAACTAGGACAGGGGACCAAAGTCAGGGAGCTGCTGGGACAGAGAAGTCACATACCCCAACTGTGCTGACCTCTGAAATGTACACAGAGACCTGACTTGAGAGAGCCGAGTCCCCTGTCCATGCCCCTCAGCCCATCCCAGCAGCTCAGAGGCTGGACCTCCCCAACCAGGCCCAGGCTCCTCTCTACAGGACCTCTCTGTGGTCCCCAAGAGCCACCTCCACCCCTCCTTCCCAGATCATGCAGCTGTTAATGAAGGGGAACCGGCAAAGGACACAGGAGCCCACAGCTGCCAACCAGACGTCCTCCCGCTCCCACGCTGTGCTCCAGGTGGCCGTGCGCCAGCGGAGCCGGGTCAAGAACATCCTGCAGGAGGTGCGGCAGGGCCGCCTGTTCATGATTGACCTGGCCGGCTCGGAACGTGCTTCCCAGGTGAGGTTGGCTCTGCTCCCAGGGCACAGGGGAGGGAAGGAAGCAAGGGCAGGGGTGATGGCCCTCAAGGTGAGGTCAGCTCTTGGGGGAAGAGGTCACAGGAGAAGAAGCTAGCTGAATAGGTCAGCTTCTGGGGCAGTTAGGAGAGGAGAATGCCCCAGGGAGGTGGGGACATGAGTGGAGTCCCAGGGTAAGGAGCTGTGCAATGTCTCAGAGGAACAAATAGGCCTGGGATCCTGAAGGGACGGGCTGATGGGGAGGAGAGAGTGGAACAAAGCTGCCTCTGATGTCATGTCATCTTACCTTCAGGGACCTCAGGGAAGAGGGAGAGGCCTCTAACCAGGGTCACCAGAGCGTTAGTGAGTGGCTGAGTGAGGCTGCTGCCTCTGTCCCCTGAGCCACAGTCATATCCTCTGCTGCTCCCCCAGACACAGAACCGGGGACAGCGCATGAAGGAGGGGGCCCACATCAACCGCTCCCTGCTTGCCCTGGGCAACTGCATCAATGCATTGAGTGACAAGGGCAGTAACAAATACATCAATTATCGGGACAGCAAGCTCACCCGGCTCCTGAAGGTACCCGGGAATGGCATCAAGGGCAGGCCTGCGAGGTGGACACACAGCATGGCTAGCCACACTTGAATTTCAGATTTCCACCAAGTTCATTATGTAGCAGTATGCCCTGTGCAAACAGTCCCTTCATTGTTTATCTGAAATTCTACTGTAAGCAGGTGTGCTCTGTCTTTTCCGGGGACTCTAACCAAAGGACAGGAAGCAAGGTGGCACAGGAGCTGGAAGGGGTATCTTCTTCCAGGACTGTGGGTCAGAGGGAACCAAAAGCCACCTAGATTTGGGGGCTTTGGTGATGGTCAGCCTCGTGGCCTATGGAGCCTGCCGTTTGGGGGCCACTGTCTCTGGGCATGGCCACTTTTGGCCTTAAGCTATAAACATGGCACTAATGAGTGTCCACTTCTGGCTGGCTGGGCTCTGTGTTCAAGGACCTCTCCCCACCAGTCCTTTAATCTTCTCAGGGGCTGTGAGTTAGGGGGATTACATGTGCAGATGAACCAGTGAGGCTCTGGGGGGTGTCTCTGGCTAGCCACTTCCCTGTCCCCCCAGGACTCACTGGGGGGGAACAGCCGCACTGTGATGATTGCCCACATCAGTCCAGCAAGCACTGCTTTTGAGGAATCCCGGAACACCCTGACCTATGCTGGCCGAGCCAAGAACATTAGGACCCGGGTGAGCACCCCTGGACTATGCCCTAGTCACCCCCACCCCGGACTGAGATTTGAGCCCCTGGGGCAACCCTGACACCCATCCCACCCTCCCTGTACTGGTGTGGTCTCTCAGGTGAATGTTACTCTGAGGGCTTTCTCTGCTCTACCAGCCCCTGCCTACCTGCCTAGCGAGGACTCTCTACCTTTCTTTCTTCTTCCGAGGTTCACTCAGTCCTCTGTGTGTTCAAAGCCCCTCATCACCATAGTCACAGTAAGAGGCACCCTTATCCAGTGCCCACTCTTAGCACTGTGACATGTCCCATTCCATCTCAGAACCAGGCAGGGGTTACTGCCTACTGTACAGTTTAGGACAGTGAGGCTTGAGGACATAAAGAGACTTCCCAGCTAATCAAAGACAGGAGGGAGATGAGAGCTGGGTCTACCTGGTTTCCAAGTTCAGGTTCAAGCTCCTTTTCCCTGGTAAAGAAGTCAGCCTTGGCCTGTGTGCATGTGGAGGAGAGAATGACTAACTTTGAGGTGATGTGCAGTGAGCTTTCTTCCAATGTCTACTCCTCCCCACCCCCCACACCATTGTCCCAGATATTGGGAGTTGGAGTGTAGCCTCCAAGAATGTCAAGGGGAGAGGGGACATGATCTTGACTAGTTAACTGATAGTTCAGAAGCAGATTAGTCAGGCGTGGTGGTGAACACCTATAGCCACAGCACTTTGGAGGTGGATCAGTTCAAGATTGTCCTTGGCTGCATAATAAGTTCAGGGTTAGCATGGGCTACATGAGACCCTATCTAAAAAGAAAAAAACACAGGGCTAGAGATATGGCTTAGCAATTAAGAGCACTGGCTGCTCTTGCAGAGGACCCTGGTTCAGTTCCCAGCACCCACATGGCTGCCAACAACCATCTGTAACGACAGTTCCAAGGGCTCTGATGCACTCTTCTGGCTTCCACGGGCACTGCATGACATGGGTGCACTTACATACATGCAGGCAATACACTCATACACATAAAATAAAAAGAATGAACAAAATATATATATATATAAGTAAAATAATAAAAGGCAGTTTATTTAATTGAGGCCAATAGCAAGTGCTAAGGCAAGCGGAGGAAGGGGGAATTAAGGCTGGGCTGTCTGTGGTAGGCGTGGAGAGACCAGGACTGTTGCTTGACTACAGCAGGACATTCGTGCAGAAACAGTGAGTCCAAAAAGGAAAAAGAGGGCTGGAGAGATGGCCCAGTCGTTAAGAGCACTGGCCGCTCTTGCAAGAGGACCTGGGTTCAGTTCCCAGCACCCACTTGGTGGCTAACAACCACCTGTAACTCCAGTTCCAGGGAATTTGATGCCCTCTTCTGGCTTCTTTTGGCATTGCAGGTAGGTGGTGCACTTCCAATACATGCAGACAAAACATTCATACACATAAAATAAAAATAAACCAATAATATTTTAAAAAAGAAATAGAAATACCAGAGAGTGGTGAGCCTTCAACGCCAGGAGAGGAACATGGGCTCCTTAGGCATCAGAGTCACTGAGGTCAGAGAGCAGCAGCAGCACTTTAGGATCATAGATCTAGCAGAAGCCTGCACAGGAGGCTGTGGGTTGGGGGCAAGGCCATGGAGGCAGGCCTGGCTTCTGGGGTGACTGTACCCCCTTGTCCCTCATCCTGGGCTCCCCACAGGTGAAGCAGAACCTACTCAATGTTTCCTACCACATTGCCCAGTACACCAGCATCATTGCTGACCTGCGAGGAGAGATCCAGCGACTCAAGTGCAAGATCGACCAGCAAGCCGGTCGGGGCCAGACCCAGGGCCGGATGGACCGGGGTGACATCCGCCACATTCAAGGTGTACACAAGGGCCCTTGGGGATATAGATGGGGTCTTGTCTCAGCAGCCCGCTCCAGACAGTGCTGATTCCAGCTCTTCTAGGCTGGGTAGCCAGCCTCACGCTAGTCACTCCAAGGCTCTGAGCCTTCCAGCCTACCCTGAGAAATGGGACCACACTCTCTGCGTTGGAGAGATGGAGATGGGGCAGGATAACAGGAGGATCTTACATGGGGGCTGGCTGCGTACCAGGGTTGCCCTGTAGGACCCCTGAAGGCCTGTTCACTCAGAGAGCAATGGTTTTCCAAGTCAGCAAACAAACAGGGCACCTCTCTGTAGCTGACACAAGGTGCTGTGCTGTGAGGACTCTCAGAAGCCCAGTTCATGCGGAAGAGTTGGAGTCACCTTTGGACATCAGCCTGAAGAAACATTGTGGGGAGACGGGTGTGGAAGAAGGGTGAAATCCAGGAGCTCTTTCTGGAGGAAGGGGTTAGCCAGGAAGTGGAAGCAGTGGTTTGGGAAGAAACTGGGGGTCAGAGCCCAAGTGGGCTTGAGCTGGACCCTAGGCTGACGCCACCCCCTCCCCGGCAGCGGAAGTACAGTTACACAGCGGGCAGGGCGAGCAGGTGGAGATAGGGCAGCTTCGCGAGCAGCTTGTCAGCGCCTTCCACGAGCAGATGGATGTGCGCAGGCGCCTGCTGGAGCTGGAGAACCACGCCATGGAAGTCCAGATCGACACCTCCCGCCACCTGCTCACCATCGCCGGGTACACACCCCTGCCCCAGGATCCTCCAAGGTCCACTCTGGGTCTGGGATGGAGGAGGCTCACTGCCCTGTTCCCTGGCCTGAATCTCGTGTCTCCCTGGGTGGCACTGTGCAGCTGGGAACACGAAAAGTCACGCCGGGCTCTCAAATGGCGGGAAGAACGGAGGAAGGAGTCCTACACCAAGGACGACAGCGAGAAGGACTCAGACACAGGCGATGAGCCGGACACCCTGGAGCCGCCCGAGGTGGCCTCGGCCCGGGAGAACATCGCCGCCCTGGTGGGGGAGCAGAAAAAGCTGCGCAAGCAGAAGGTGTCCAGGGCTTGAAGGCAGGGGCGAGGGCTGGGAAGAGGGAGACCGGGAGCCGTTACTCATCTGTAAAATGCGCGCAGTCATGGTGCTGCCCAAGTGGCACAAAGCAAGGACTCAACGCATGATCACCAACATAGTAACAGATCTTTATCTTCTGTGCCGAGGCAAGGGATGGTTGTCCCAGGGCATGGCGAGCCGAAGGGCATCGCGGGTCTAGGATTGAGCCAGGTGGGCACGGAGGGGCCACCTTGGAGCATACCCTACTTGTAGGGCCCAAGATAAGCTCTGAGGGCTAGTCTTGGCTTGGAACGGAAGCCCGACGACCTGAATCCAGGGACTGGGCTGGCGGGTGTGGCCTGGCGCTGACCCCGCGGCCTCCCCAACCCCGCAGCTGGCGTTGGAGCAGCGCTGCGGGGAGCTGCGCGGGCGGGGCCGGCGCCTGGAAGAGACGCTGCCCCGACGTATCGGCTCGGAAGAGCAACGCGAGGTGCTCAGCCTGCTGTGCCGAGTGCACGAGCTGGAGGTGGAGAACACCGAGATGCAGTCGCACGCGCTGCTCCGCGACAGCGCCCTGCGCCACCGCCGCGAGGCCGTGCGTCGCCTGGAGCAGCACCGAAGCCTGTGCGAGGAGATCATTCAGGGCCAGCGGCAGCTCATCGACGGCAAGGCCCTCGCTGGGGGAGGGGCGGGGGGTGAGGCGGAGGGGCGGGGCTGCCGGCCCACGCTGACCCCTTCTTTTCCTCTTTTCCCTACAGACTACAATCTGGAGGTCCCCCGGCACTTGGAAGAACTTTATGAAGCGTTCCTGCGGGAACTGGAAGAAGGTACTCTGGAGCGCGCTACCATCATGGACCGTGTGGCCTCCAGGGCCCTGCAGGTGGGCGCCTGGGCATGCGCAGTGGCTCGTTGTAAGATAGGCACCTGCAAGTCACTGGGATTCCACTAAGCCAGCCACGCTCACCCCAAGGGGTTAGCTTCCCCCCCCCCTTCCCCTTCTTAGCCACTATATGCCTTGCCAAGCCTCTGTGAAGTCTCCCATGCCTGGGCATTCCTGTCTGGCACTTGTTCCCACCTGAGGGGTCTCAGGGTCAGGACTGGCCATTTGAGATATCAGATAGCAACGATGAGCTTTTAATCCCAGCATTTGGGAGGCTGAAGAATTGAAAGTTGGAGATCAGCCTGTCTTAAGTAAATGGATGGATAAATAAATTAATGTTTAAAAATCAAGGGAAAAGCAGACCATCAAGCCAAGCCACTAAGACTGCCTAACAGACCCCAGCTTGCTCCTGGGGACCCAGGACATAGAGGCCCAATGCCCTTCCAGGGCTCCCAGCCGTTGTTACAGCCCTCATCACTCTGTGCTGTTACTTGATCCAGGACCAAATCTTCTGACTGCTCTCTCTTACCATTGCTGCCCCCTCCTCTCCCCATCACACACACACACGCATACAGGACAGCTCCTTGCCCAAGATCACTCCAGCAGGGACCACACTGACCCCGGACTCTGACCTGGAGAGTGTGAAGACACTAAGTTCTGAGACCCAGCGCCCCCCAAACAACACCCTACCCCCGCTTAGCACAGACGGGTGAGGCGCTTCCTGATAGCCACCTGTGCCCTGTTGGGGGATGTCTTTGAGGATAAGGGCTCAGTGGGGATGGTGGAGCCAGAAGGATAGAGGGAGGAGGAGGCAGGGGGCTGTAGCCAGCACTCCTGGGTCCTCTCTCCCTGGGCACTAGGAATTCCTTCCCTGGGGTAAGGGTGGGTCTTGGTGTGACTAGTCTAGTCAATAGCTGCCTCCTCTTCTTCCCTTGCTGACTGCAGTGACACCTACCAGGTATTCAAGGCCAGTCCCCGGGCCTGGCAGGCAAAGAGCTCCTCTGTGCCCACTCCACCCCCCATCCAAGTAGGCAACCTGGTGACTCAGGAGGTGAGCTCTGGGCACCTGTTGGACACCCAGCAGTTGGGGTGGAATCCTTCCAGAACAGCCAGCACCTCCAAGATCACACAGCCTCTGCGAAGTGGGGGTGTCACACCTACCTATTTTCAAGGTCTGTCCAATCAGTCACTTCACCCCCAGGTCCCATCTCAGGACAGCCTGGGCAGCCGGATCAACTCTTCCCCTGACAGCATCGAGAACCTGTCGGAGATCCCTCTGTCCCATAAAGGTGTGTGTTCCCGCCACCTACCCTGCCCTGCCAGCCCCTACCTGGCATTGATCATCTAAATGTTCAGATCACCCAGCCCAAAGCGCCTTCCTGTTCTGTGCCCTGCTGAAGGCCCCCAGAGGGCCCTCACTCCATGGATAGATTAAACCAATTGCCTAAAGGAATACTTTTTTTTTCTTTTGTGAGGGTTGGGGTGGTACTAGGGATTGAACCTGGGGCTTCACACACGCTAGGCAAATGTTCTATCACTGAGCTATATCCCCAGCCCCCTTTTCACTTTTTGAGACAAGGACTAAGTTGCCCAGGTTGGTCTTGAACTATCTCTCCAGGAGAGGCAGGCCATGAACTTTCCGTCCTCCTGCCTCAGCTTCCCGAGGAGCTGAGATTACAGGCAGTGCCACCAGTCCCAACTCCCAAAGTCTCAGTCAGTCCTTGATGTAGCCCTAGATTAGCATTGCAGTCCCACTTACAGATGAAATTAAGGTTCAGAGTGTGTGTGCTCAAGTTTCTCAGATATCGAGGGAGTCAATGTTCTGGGAGTGGCGTCCAGGAGTTCTGGCTTTTGCTCACTTCTGCCCTGTGAGAAGGAGTGGTGGGAGGTGGCCTTGACCCTGGGTTGGGCATTCCTGTACCTGCTGCAGAAAGGAAAGAGATCCTGACCCGTACCCAGTGTATCTCAGTGAAGGCTGCCCAGCGACGCTCACAGGCCCTGGGCATGGAGGGGCGCCACCTGCTGGCACCTACCACAGAGAGAAGCAGCCTGTCCCTGCACTCACTGAGCGAGGCTGATGAGGCACGGCCAGCGGGCCCACTGGCCTGCAAACGGCCACCTAGCCCCACACTGCAGCATGCTGCCAGTGAAGACAACCTGTCCAGCAGTACTGGTGAGGCCCCCTCCCAGGCTGCCGGACCTCGAGGTGACAGCACTGGACCCTGGGTGCGTGGTCAGAAGAAAAGCCCAGGCAAGAAGAGAGAGGAGTCACTGGAGGCGAAGAGGAAGAAGCGGAGGTCTCGGTCCTTCGAGGTCGTGGGACAAGGGGTAAGGTGTCCCAGCCCCTTCCTGGTGGGTGGGGACCTGCGGGCAACCCTGTCCAGGATATACAAGCACTTTCTGCCCTTTTCTACACCCAGAGGCCCTGCCCCCAACCATGCCTCGAGGACAATCAGGCTGGCACAGTAGCTAGGGTGCAATTCTGTAGCTGAGCTCTGGGTAGCTCCACACATTTCATTATTTTCCAACCACGCAGCTGTCTCGCCCCAAGACACATCTCCTGAGGCCCTGTCCCTTGGACAGTATTTCGGACCACAGGATGCCAGTGTGCAGTCGCCCATCCCCTGGTATCAGGCATTTGGGAAAGGTCACGCTGCCTCTGGCCAAGGTCAAACTCCCTCCAAGTCAGAACTCAGGTCAGTACCAGCAAGGGGAGACCTTGGCTAGTCCTGAGCAGAGTCATGCCGAGCTCCCCTAGGGAGTTCAAGGCCCCTGGGATGATGGTGGAATGGAGGCATTCCTAAACTTTTGATGCTGGTTCTTTCCTTGTTGCAGGTTCTGGGGACCCCTCACCCCTTCCTGTTCCCCCTAACACAGCTAGTGTTTCCAGACGAGCTACTCGCGGGTCCAGCCTGCCCCATGGCTCAAGCACCCTTGGCAAAGATGGACGCGTCCGGCATAACTGAGGGGGCCTTGTCTGGCACCTGCTAGTCTGCCCCCAGGACTGAGTGGGGTGGAGCAGGGATGGGAGGTGGCTGGGCAGATGGAGATCCCCTGGGAGCAGGAGGCTTGGAAGGCTGGGCTCCCAAGAACCCAGAAATTGTGGGGGTTCTGTGCCACCAGAATGGGAAGTGAGCTCCAGGGGCATGGCCTCCCAGCCCTGGACAGAACACTTGCCAAAACCCTGCACAGACCTGGGGCCAGTCTCTGCCTTGAAAATGGGGGAGAGGGCTGTTAGTGAGTCGGGACTCCTCCGTGGGCAAGGATGGGGATGGGGTGTGGGAAAGAGGCCCAGAGGGACTTTTCATGGGATGGGTGGGGGTGGGGAGAGAGTCTAGTTTTGTTACTTATCTGTTGCTTTTTTTTCACCTTTTAAACAATAAAGTTCTAATGGAGTTTTGATGGTTGTGTTGGGACTAAACCTTGTCTGAATGTGGGGTGTCTGTAAGATTCATCCCTTTCCCTCAGCACCCCATCTCCCTTGGCACAAGCCTACAAACAGCTGGGGAAAGATGCTTTTTAAAACCCTAGCCCAGGCGCCTTCCCAAGAGGGTTCCGGGGACTTGATGTGGGGAGGAGGGCAGAAAGCCTCACAACTCAGAGGACTGGCTGCCCCCTGGTGGTCACAGCTCAGAAAGCACCTTAGCTTCCAAACCAGAAAATTGCCCCAGAGGTAGATTGCTCCAGTTAACCGTCAAGCTCTGGCTATCTGGGTGTCTTGTCTGGCCTAATCCATGTCTGGGTGGAGACTGCCTAGTGGCCGGCAGGCGAACCCCAGTCTTGTGAGTTGCTTTTACCCAGGGACTGGTGCTTCAGTCAGCCCCTGGCCTTTCTGAGCATCGGTTTATTCTGGACCATGATATCTGCCTTCAAGGCGGCTGGGAAATGAACTACTGATTGCCTAGGACGTTCTCGTGGCTTTCACGCGAGCCCCACCAGCTGCACCTGGCCACCCAAGGGCCACCCCCTCCCCAGACCCCAGGCCATCTCTCGGCCAAGCCTTTATCTCCCAACCCCCGAAGCTAATTGGGGGTCCGGATGAGGGTGTGGTACACAGGCTTGACTATGAGATGCAGATGCAGCGCATTCTCCACCAGGTACTCGGAGTTCCGCCTCTGCAGGTCTGCGTGGGCCAGGAAGTCTCCGGCCTCCTCGCTGCTCTGGTGGAAGCTGTAGGCGTGGCGGACCAGCAGGCGGCCCTGCTGACGAGCCCCGACCAGCACCGTCTTCTGGAAGCTCACGCCGGCCGCGTCACCGCCGCTGCTGGCCGGAGTGACCACCAGCCGCGGCCGCCCATCCTCGGGGCGCGCGGCGGGCAGCGCGGTACCCGCAGCATCCGCGTATACCGGCCGCAGGCTGACCGGCAGCCAGCGGGGCGAGAAGAGCACGTTCCACGTGATCCGGCGGCCCGCGTCGTGGCCGCTCGGACCCAGCTGCGTCTGGAAACTGGTGCTGCGATCGTCGCGAGCCGGGTTGTTGATGACCCACGGGGCGCCCCAGGCGGGCGCGAGGTAGTTGCGGGGCAGGAAGGCGCTGCCGTTGACGTCGAAGTACTTGGCGTAGTGCAGCGGAGAGGCGGCGTGGAACTGGTAGGCCTGCAGCAGGAGGTCGGCCACCGCCGGGCCGTGGCGCTCCAGGGCTGCGGAGCGCGCCTGCAGCTGGAACAGCTGGGCCGGCGGGATCATCGGGTAGCGGATGGCGCGCAGCGCTCGCTCGGCCACAGGGGGCGGCGGTCGCGCGCGGCCCAGCCACGCCTCCAGCGCGTGGAACAGCTCCAGCTCGTCCTGCAGCACCAGGTCGGAGCGCTGCAGGAGCTGCGCCAGCAACTCGGGGCTCACGGCGCCCCACTCGGCGCTCCCCGCCACGGCCGACAGGTTCCAGGCCAGGAACTGCAGGCAGCTCTCGCGCAGGGCCTCGTCCCCAGTGCTCACCGCGTAGTGGTACCAGCCCACCGCTGGACCTGCACCTCCCGCCAGGTGTGCGCGCATGTAGTCGGCCACGCCCCGCTGCAGGGATGCCACCCGGTATTTGGTGGCCAGCCTATGCAGCGGGATGGCCTGGGCCAGCAGTACTGTCAGCTCACCGCAGTACAAGTACCTACAAGAGAGTTGGAGAGGGAGGGGGGTGCGCTGCTGGAGCGATGGCTCAGCGATTAAGAGCACTCGCTGCTCTTCCGAAAGACCTGAGTTCGGTCCGGAGCACCAGCACTATGTGGCTCACAACCGTCTTTACCTCTGCTTTTAGAGGATCTGACGCTCCCTTCTGGCCCACAGAGGACACCTGCACACACATGTACACTCACATATACACATAAATAGTAATAATGAAATAAATTAATAATCAGGCCGGCGAGATGGCACAGTGGTTAAGAGCACTAGCTGCTCTTGCAGAGGACCCGGGTTCGATTCCCAGCACCCACATGGTGGCTAACAGTCATCCATAACTCCAGTTCCAGGGGATCCAATGCACTCTTCTGACCTCCATTGGCTGGCATTGCATGACACCAGTGCACTTACATACATGCAGGCAATACACTCATGCATAAAATTAATAAAATACTAAAAAATAAATTAATAAATATAAAATG